TCTATCGGAACAACTTTTTTATTTAGGCAAAAAAAAAATTAATCTAATTCTTTTTATTTTAATCTAAATATACTACTCTCTCCGTCCCATTGAAAATGTTACCAATTTTCATTTTCGTCCGTCCTAGTTATCATTTTCTAATTTAGTAATTGTACTACCTACTTAACATAATAAATACTCTTTCGACTTACAATATATTACACAAATGTCATTACTTTTATATTACATCATATTAATAGGGATTTTTATTTTTCTTTACTACAATCCAATATAATACTAATATTAAAAAATCTACGTGCAAAAAGCAAACGCCACTCTTCCAACGGGACGGAGGGAGTATTTAATTTTCTAAATCTAATTTTTAGTTTTGCACTAGTGCTACAATCTCTGACTTTTGTCTCAATCTTCTGCTCTCGTCTCTTGTTGAGTGCGAATTTGTAAGTATAATTTTAGAGTTAATATTTTTATAAAATTATATAGTATGTCTTTATTTGTTTAAATATAAATTTTTATTTGTTATGTCTTTTTTTAATTATGGTAAAATGAAAAGATATTTTCTTTAAAAAAGTTCTAAATCAAAATATGCGACTTCAAGTTCTATCGAGCCAAATTCTAGTATCAATGTTAATGAGATTACATAAAATAAGTTGGCGGAATGAGATGAAGACAATGATATTATTAGTGATCCTGGTATTCGAAAACCAATTAAAAGTTATCCCGTTGAAATCAAAGATGAATTGAGGCGATGATATTTGGTCAATGAACCTTGTCAACCATTAGGACATGATTTTCCGCTTAGTCAATATGGTGAGGGTAAAAGAAAATTTCAAAAGGTATGGTTCAAAAGTTTTATCTGGTTAGAATGGTTAGAATAGTGTGTTAAAAGATGCTGCATTTTGTCTTTGGTGCTATTTGTTTGGTGAAGGCCATAAACACAGAGATGATGCATTCACTAAAATTGGATTTAGTAATTGGAAAAAGGCTATTCAAAATTCAAGGAGCCCGAGGGTGGTGGAAATGGTTAACATAATTATGTTAGAACTAAATACTTTGGATATAAAGATCAAAAGCATAATGTGGATTATGTATTTGTGTAAAAAAATAGTGAAATGAGATTGTTTATCACACCCGGTTGACTGCTGTTGTTAATATAATTAGATATCTTATGGAACAAGGCTTAGCTTTTCGTGGACATAACAAGTTATCACAGTGCATCGAGGCAACTTTCTTGAACTCATTAGTTGATATTGTGAGCGAAATAAAAAGGTAAATAGTGTAATGAATTCAAATGCTCCTGCCAACAATCAACTGACTTCTTCAAATATTCAAAAGCAAATTATCAATGCATGTGCTACAGAGGTGAGAAATGTGATTTTGAATGAAATTGGAGATAAATATTTCTCTGTTTTAATTGATGAGGGGCGAGATAGTTCGGTAAATGAGCAAATGTCGATAATTTTGAGATTTGTGAATGATGATGGAGAAGTGATTGAACGATTTTTTGGTGTGGTACATATTAGTGATACTTGTTCGCAATCTTTCAAAAATGCCATTGATGAATTTTTTTGCAAAGAATAGGTTGTCATTATCAAAACTAAAATGTCAAGGCTACAATGGTGAGTTCAATGGACTTAAGGTACTTATTTTAAAGGAAAATGGGCATGCACACTATATCCATTGTTTTTCACCAACTTCAATTAGTTGTTGCTAGCGTGAGCAAAAATGGGTATGTCTTAAATTTCTTTGAGTACCTTTCTCTGATTGTTAATGTTGCCGGAGCTTCATGTAAAATAAGAAATAATTTGAGACAACAACAACATGATGCTCGTGTCAAACGTACAGAGGAAGGTGATGTTTTGAAAGGAAAACAAAATAAACAAGAAATGGTCTTAAATCGAGCCGGTGACACTCGTTAGGGCTCAAACTTCAAGACAATTCTTCAAATTTTTTCAATTATGGGATGTGGTGAAAGAAGTGATTCATGCAGTATTTGAGGATGGTGATGATCCAAAGAGTCGATCTATAAAACGGTTAGTTTGATTGATAAGATGAAGAGCTTAGAATTTGTATTCATTGGTTATTTGATGATGCGTTTGTTAAGAATGACAAATGTTTTGTCACAAACTTTACAACAAAAGAATCAAAACATATATCTTGTTGTTCGCTTGATACAGTTACTGAAAGATGAATTGGGGGAATTTAGAAATAATGGTTGGGATAAGTTTTTGAAAGAAGTAACTGAATTTTGTTTTAAAAATGAGATTTTCGTGCCCACTATGGAAGTTGTTATACCGGGTCTGGCAAGAAGAACATTGGGTGAAAAAGGGAAAGACTTATATTCACTATTTTCGTGTAGACATATTTTTATAGGTAATTAAATTCTTGTTCATTTTATAACGATATTCAATTGCTATTTTATAGTATTATTTTATTTTATTATTAATATAGTTTGTTGATATTATTTCTCAAGAAATGAATGTCCAATTTTTTTAGTTGAATTCTGAGCTGATTATGTGCATAGCTTGCCTTGATCCTAGTAATTCATTTGCTAGCTTTGATCTTGAACAGATATTCCACATGGCTGAGTTGTACTTAGATGATTTTACCGGGGAGAATCTAATGGAATTGAGATTACAATTTCGATCATACATTTATTATGTGTGAAGAAAATCGGATTTCTCAAATCTTTCTGATATTGAAAGTCTTGCAAAGAAGATGGTTGAGTTTAAAGTTGATACTATTTTTCATTTGATATATCGACTTAAGGTGTGTTATAGTATTAGCATTGGTCTTGCCCGTAAAGATCATTTTATGCTATAAAGATTATAAAGACTGATTTGCGTAACACAATGGGAGATAAGTTTTTTGCGAATTGTCTAGTATCTTATATTGAAAAAATTATTTTTGTAAAATGTGAAATCAAAAGTATTTTACAGAGATTTCAAAATATGACGACCCAACACTACAATTGTCGCACCGGATGTAAAAACTATTTTCAATATTTCTAATATTTTACTTTTTATTATTAAGAAAAGCCCCCAAACTTCAATGCTTTGGCTCCGCTAGTGTTATAAAGCCACTTAATCTGAAGTGATAATAACAAAACGTTGTATTAATAATACATCGAAGACAACAAATCTTCATAATACAATTACATCAACATTTTATCAAGATTCGATACATAAAATTTTTACTCCATGTAACAATTTAATATTTAATTATTAGCAAACATATTTCTCTAATTAAAACAAAATCTAAAATAAACATACATAATACAATAAGTTTTCAATACAAATACATATAGTTAAATTTGTATGTACGTTATCCAAAATTTTCTTGCATGCTCCAAGTGGTAGACGTGCTAGTAGTATCAACAAGTTAGTACGTGGAAAGTAACGAGGATTTTCTCAAGAAAGTCAGACATGCAACGAAGAGGAAGAAGATGATGCAGAAGGCAAAAGGTATATGCCTCAAAGGATAAGCACGAGAAAAATCGAACAATAAGAAGGAGACAACGTTGATGATGAAAGGTTCAAAGGTAAGACATTGGATCAGAGACAGCGCACAATGAGACCAAACTCGAACTATACAAGCCTAAAAAAAAATGATGGAATCCTTATTTACAACGAAATTTTTATGAGGGAAAATCCCGGCAAATAATATTTGAAAAAAATGAAATAAAAATACTATGTAACCAACGTCTTCACTTAGTTTTTCCAGGGACCGATTTTCTATAATATTATTTTTAAAATATAATATATACTTATACCAGCACAATATACATAATAAGCATGATTTCACTCACAAAAATTCAATCGTTCATTTATTTTTATATTACTAACATATCTAACATAAAAAAAAAAAACATATTAATTAAAGAACACAAATTGAACAAACCCCAATAAACTATAGCGCAAATGACTATAATATAGACTCCGGTTCTATTTACATAGACTTTTGAGATATAAGAATAGATAGTATTTGATAAAATATTTTGTAAGATAAAGAAAATATATATTACTATAAATGAATAATATCAAAATTTTCAAAAAAAAAAATTATGTATTTTTACATATAAAAATATATTATGTCTCAGTGGGAAGTAAATATTTACTTTTTAATTTGAAAAAAGAATTTAATAAATATTGTATGAATAATTTGTAATATATAATTTTGGTACATAAAAACTATTTTACCCTATGATGGTATCAAATTAATTTGAAAATATTGATCTAAATAAGCATAAATAAAATCATATTTATAATATATAGATGAATCTATAAATACTAAAAAAAAAATTGTATGTAGACAAAAAAAAAAAATATAGTAAAATGGATACCTAGTAGATGGAGTGACTATAAAATTTTTTTATTCAAATCCTTTCCCCTAATAACTATTTCAGCAAAGATAAAAATATATATATATATATATATATGTAAAACAAAAACAAATACAGAAAGAGACATTCATATCTCATAAATCAATTCATTTCATGCTAAACCGGTAAACCCTTGTATATATCCATCAATCTAACTAAATATCCAAATATGCATGAAAATATATAAATATTTGTACAAATCATCTCCTCAAAAAAAAAAAAAAAAAAACAATTTTTTCATCGATATGATTTCCTATAAACATCATTAAAAAAATATAATATATATTATATCTATTCATAAAAATCACAATTCAATATAAAATACTCTATTTTTTATATTATTATAGGAACTAACATAAAAATATATATATTATCTAAAAAACACACTCACAAACACAAACAAATACAAATATAGGCATTAATACTTCATAAATCAATTCATTTCATGCTAAACCCTTCCACATATCCACGAAATCTAACTAAAAAAATCCAAACATGCACACCAGTAACAAAGATAACCATCGCTATAATCACCTTTCAAAACATTTCAACAAAAAAGCAACATTAAGAACAACAAAGCAACACAAGCATACACCCAAAAAAACCAAACAAGAAATAAAAATTGCAGTCACATTATTCTTTTATTGCCCTTCCCAGTTAAAGAAAGCATTTATCGTCGAAAAATGACATTCTCGAACCATAAGTTATGTCGAAAAACAAAAAAAATACTAGAAAAAACAGGCAACGGCCAATAAAGAATTGGATTTCTTCAATCTAAAGGAATCCCTTTATGAGAATACCCTGAACTTTGAGCAGCAGATAATATAATGTCATGCCACAGGGCAATCGATAAATAGCTGCTTGAAGAACAGGTAGACCGGAAACTTCAGGGAAGAGGAGAACCAAATGAATGTTTTTTTTCCCCTTTTTTGGATGGAAAATAAATAAAGAAAAGAAAAATGTTAGGATTCTACTGCTATCCTAGTTCTGCAGTATCTTTCTGTTTTGAATGGCAGGATTCAGAATAGTACCCCGAGCTTGCGATTTTCCTGCAACGAATCATATCTTTATTCATCTTTCTTGACCACCTTGCTTGGAGGTAGGTGGAATCTAGACTTCAGAGGCCTCGGTGCACGAGTTTTCTGTTCAAATCCTCTAACACACACAAATCCTGCAATAAGGATGTGAAAATATGAGGAAATGCTCCAAAGTGTAACGGTAATGTTGTTGTACGAAAAGCATGTCAATGGAGAAGCTAGAATGTATGGACAATGGATACCTTTCCAGAAGCAATATTGGATACCTTCAGTCGATAAGCCTAGCATTGAGAGGTTGTATTTCAGTTTTCCGATTGTAATTCAGCAATAAACTTGTGTAAGTATTTTTGGTTACCTCTAAAAATTGATGTGACAGATGTCCCAAAGAATACTGTCCTCCTTGGTAAGTTCCATATCCAGCTTCTCGGAACGGTTATAGGATTGGTACTGGATTCGTCATCTGCAAAAACCTGCAAAGAACAATATACATTACATTCCCGAGCATTTTAGGCTCCGTTTAGATAGAGATTTTTGTGAGAGAATATATATTTGATAGGATGTTTTCGAAAAAAGGTTAATAAGGATGAATAGTGCTAAAACTTTTAAAAGTGTCTGTCTAAACGAAGCCTAGCTTTTGCATAAATAGGTGGTGCACACAAAACGGCTAACAGTACGAATTTAATTACCTCATTAACCTGAAAGTATGTCCCATTTAGGGGAAAGCTCCCTCTCATTGCCGTTCTGCAAGGTATCTGCAGAGAGGTAGACGTTGCAGCCAATAAAGAAGAATTGAAAGAAGTAAAAACATATATTTGCTTGCAATGCCGATGATTATGTTCGATTTGTTCTCACCAGAATTGTGCCCCTGACTGTTTGGGTCTGTGCTTCTCTTGCACTGCAGCATGGAAAGCATGTCTTTCTGCTACACATACCACCTTGTTCCTGAGAGCTACATGTCCTTTCAGGTGGTTGAATTGAATCTGGAGTCTCACCTGGTTAGAATTACGCATGGTCTGTCAGAATGTGTCTCTTCATTGTAACATTATAATGTTATGTTTTACAGGTTATATTTTTCCTTAAGAAAGTTTATGAGTAGGAAAAACAAGGGAAGTACTGGCTCTGCACACTGTTCTACTTTTTTTGCAAACCTAGAGGTTCATAGATACCTTTAGCATCCTACGCGGATTATGGAGAAAAAAATGAGGTATTTTAGACCACATCAAGTGAAATTAGATTGTATAACTCACCAGGAGCCCATATGGCCAGAAGGTATGGACTTGGATCATCAGGTTCTCGCCGATCCATCTAAAATTAGAAACACTGATGTTAAAGAAAATCAAGTTTCGAACATTCGGAATCATAATAGCTCGAAAATAAAATAGCTAACCCCTTTCAGCAGTGGATGTGAATCAGGGAGCTCATACCTACACCAAGATAAGTCATCAGTTTTCAATAACTTCAATTCATTTTCTTAATACACTTCTATATCCATCTGATTTGATGTACTAAATTAATAACTTACACTTGGTGCTCTGTCCTCAGTCGATTGATATTCTTTAGTTTGGGGATTTGCATAGAAGCGAGTTCTGGACTCAAAGCAACAAGGGCTTTCGACATATCGGCTTCTCCCAGCTCCAACTTCTCTTGAATAATGTGCTCCAGGTTTGAAGTAAATTGTTCTACACTCAGTTTTATTTCAGGGATTTCATCTGGATCCTCATAAAATGCATCCTCAATGTCTCTTTCTAAATCTTCTATCGATATTTCTGGGGTAGTAGGTTCTTCAATTAATGGTTCGGAACTTCTTCCCAATCCAATTTCCCCTTCGACGGAACCCACAATTGAAAGCAGCGGCAAAGGATTTTGTATTACAGTAGAGCTTTTAGTAGAAGTTGATGCAGCTTCTGAAACGACTACTTGATTCTCTCCTGGTGCTGGAAGTGCTAGTCTTGCACTGTACATAATGCATACGTTCATCATCATTGCCATATTGAGCATATAGTACATGAAACACTCTAGCTTTAATTATCAATTATAAACAAATATTATTATAAACTTATAGCTCACCTTGCAAAAGCACTTGCAAAATGACGGCATTCTGCCCTCATTGGACAAGCATTACAATTTGGTTGTTTCTTAGTGCAGAAAACCTGTACCAAAAACAGAAACCAGAATTTGAAATATTCTTCACGTTAGCTTAATGGGAGTAATGCTTAGTACATAATAACAACAGCATACCTTGCCGAAGGTAATCATTTGGTAGTGCAGCTCATACCTGCATTGCCACAAAATATTAATAAGTTCGCATGGTGAGCTTTGAAAAATTTAGGTATGTTGTTACATAAGTAATTTTGATGAGGAAAACTTTACAGTGTTTCCTGATCCAATTTGCAGAGCCTAGGCCAGAGGTACTTCTGGATTGACTCCAGCACGGGGTAACTGCACAGGAGCAAAATTAATATCTGCAAAAGTTCACAAACCTTATCATTGATTTTTTACAATACACTTACAGTTCAAGGAGATGCAATTGGAGTGACTCCGGAAGGGGCTGAAGAGGAACCCAACCAAGTCGAACGGCAATGCGTCCAACATTGGTATCAACCTAACCAAAATGAAAAGTCAATGCTGAACTTTTTAACTCTTGAAAAGATTTCTTGATTTTTGCAGTTGAAGTGCACTTACAGGAAAAGCAAGATGATGTAGAGTCAAAAGGCGTACGCACTCCACACTTTTGAGCCCCAGCCCTCGTATGCTCAACAGATACTCCCTTTTTGAAATAGCATGTTAAGCAGAATGGTATAAATAATAATTGTCATAAAAATCATAACATAATTATTAAATTACACTAAATATCCTATACAAAAAAATATAGTTCATGTGGAAGCTCACTTGGCTTTGTCAGGAGGAACATCACGCAACCATTCTAAGTCAACACTTCCATGATCTTGAACCAGCCGGTTCAGAAAATCCTGCACGACACACATGAAAATGCCTTGATGAGTAGGCCATTTGATATAGGGAGTGATTTGCAAATTTTTCAAATACGATCTTTCGGGATACCTTCATTCGTTCTGCTAGCATGTTATTCATACCCCTTGCTCTGATTGTCTCAGAAATTTCATGAACTTCAGCATTTCGTACCGCTTCATAGTCTATAGAGTCCATTGTTTCTCTGCTTCTTTCCCTAATTCCAGCACTTGATAACAATTGCTTTCTTAAGATATCCCAATCAAATGCCACCTCCTTTCCCTTCTCAGCCTTGCGCTTTCTTGCATTTGAGGTTGCGGAGTTAGCTGCAGGGGATGATTTTCCGTAAGATTGAACTTGTTCCTTCTCAGTTGTAACACATGTTATACCAGTGCCTTTCGAGTTATCTGCAAAAAATACAAGTGTGTATAAAGCTCTAACTGTAAATGAGTTGATATGAGAACGTTCAGTTGTGTTTATTTACCACTAGGCTCTTTATTGGATGCTTGAGCAGGTCCTACGGGTTTCATCCGAAATGTACTATCCTGCTGAGCTTCCACCTGCTTTCCTTTCTTAGAGTTGCTGAATTGTTGGCAATTTCTACTCTGAGATCCATCTGTAGAAAAATCAGTTGGCATTTCATGGAAGTTGTTTTGACTAGCATGGTTTGTTGGTGGTAGTTGAAATTGTGAGCTTCCATTTTGTGCGGCCATTAACCCCGCATGCTGTCCTTGCACTGGTTCTATACCTTTGCCATTGCTAACATGAAAATTTGAAGCCCAGGCAGATGAGCTTTCTTTTTCTGATAATGGAATAAAATCATCTCCCAAGCATTCCTCACCCATCAACATGTTTGTCCAGTACTTATTTGAGGACTGTCGAACTGAGCTTCCATGAGATGGAGCTCTGGGAATGAATGGATAATAGTCTTCATTGCTGCTGCTGGCAGTTCCAATATTTTGCATGTAAGAAGAGTTTTCTAGGTTTTGATGGCCAATCATTGGGCTCATGGCTGGAAATGAACCAGCCATGACCTGAGATTGATGTTGCTGCAATGCCGCAATTCCTTCAGGCTGCTCAGGAACACTCAAATAACCAAGGTTTCTGCCAAAATTTAACCCATCTTCAGCTTCTGAGTTTGATCCTGAGCTGGATCTTATGTCTTCAGAAGCTTGAAGAATAAAAGATTCTGAAGAGCTCTGTGATGATATTATGTCATCCTCTGACCTCTTGCTCTGATCATTCATCAAACAGGTTCCGTTTTCACTCAAGACATTTTTCCCACGGCATTCAGAAGATTGCAGGTATGTTGTCAAGTCATAGTTGTAAGATACTTCCTTAGTAATTTTGTCATGATAAGTTGTTCCATCTGGAAATGTTATCTGGACCTGTGCAACAGATGAACTGGCCTCATTTCCACAGAATGCTTGTCCGAAAGTTGTTGATTTGATAGGGAACTTGGCTGCAATAGACATAAATGCAGAGCTGCAAGAAAGGGGATAAGTTATAACCATATGATTTCCCTTTGTTATTACATAATGCAAGTCTTAGTTCTAAGATAATTGAATGTACCTTGAAAGATGGTCTGAGACGTTTTGGGTGAGAAACACTCCTATAACAGAGTCAACAACTGATCCTTTCCACTTGGAGAACCGCCTGTCACCTGCAGTGATCGTTCAGGATTTATTCATTGCCTTGATGAGGAAAACAAATGCCATTGGTCAATCTTGACCACTGTTATAAATATACTAGAATACCGAATACTATATAAGGAAATCATTACCTGAAGCATGACCAACATACACACTGTAGGAAAATATGGATATGGATATTAGATATGAATCTATCAAATCGAACACACACAAACATAACTAAACAAAAATTATGACAGAAAAGAGGATTAGCAATTCAAACCTAAGTTCATGCACTTATGAAGCTTGTCTGATAATGCTATGAATGCTCATTAGGTGAAGCTTTTCAGGTTTCCAACAAAGATTTTCAAAACCTCACACTTGAGAACATGATTCAAAGGCAGGAGGGCAATAAATGAGTTGAGTATCACACCCTACCACTTTACAAGCACATCAAGTTGTCAACCACACAGTCTCTCGTTCACACATCAAATATGTTGCTTCAGATTTTATTTTGTGCATCTGTTTATAGGTTGCTATTTATACTATCTTATAACAACTCAAAGCTTTATAACCATCTCAGTATAGTAACACTGACTGGATAACTTGAGGATAGAGCAATATGCACCAGCCAAACAACCAAGAGCTAGCAATACTCAATACAAACAGATAAATCCTATATCAAATATAATGGCTATGTACGTAGAATTTCAAATATTTGAGTAATATAACCAATATAATTTTTAATGCCCAAATGAAACCAACATTAGTTTTGCATGCCCAAAATTTATTAAAATTAATTTTGAAAACAACTAATGAGATATGTGAAAATGATTTATATTAAGAGAAAGAGCTAAAAACAGCGACTTGGATCATTCATGATTCAACATTATCATATATGATTTATGTATCTGGAATTATAAGGATTTCAGTTTCAAGAAATTATTACCTTGAACCAGATGCATCCGTGCAATGAATGAGTCCACCCGACCACGGAAGACTTTTCTTTCTTCATCCCACCATTTTTGTTTATCAGGGTCCAATGTTTCTGCACTCTCACTTCCTTCCTTTCCCATTAAAAGGTTCCATAGCCTGTTAGTCTCCGGATCTAGGTCCACTCTAGGTCGTGGTCGTTTTTTCTTCACTGGATCGTATTCAACAATGGCACCATCTCCTTTGTACGGTACAAGTGCATTTCTATCATTCAAAGATGTTTCACTGATATGAAGCTCCTTCATACGGCATGTGATATCATCAAGTGAACATGAAGTCTTCTGCTCCTTTTGCGACTCTGCATTTAGATTTTATGTTACAAACAAAAATATAACTATTTTATTAAGTTGTTATGCAAAAGATGTGTTACCTCGGCCTTTCTTGGAAGATTTCTGTGATTGTTGCTGATGTAAATTATCAACCGGCTGCACTTTCTTGGGACGCCCAACGGACTGCCTCTTGACTGCCTTTTTTGTAGTGAATTCAGAGTCTTTTTGAGATGCAGATGCAGGGTTGCAGTTCTGCTCACTGGTATGTGTGGATGACTTCTGAATTGTTTGTTGTATGCACTGCTGAGAATGAGACGAACCATGTTGCTGTTGAAAATCCCTCATCATTTCCTGGTAGCTGATGCACCAATCACTACTCTCTGGTTTGTCATTTGAATTTCTTGATAAGCTCAACCCTTTGCCATTAAAACTGGTGAGGCCACCATTCTGATGAATTGCATGGCTTCGAGCAGGCCTGTTGTTGTTCCATATACCTTCCATTTGCCCCGAAGAATCTTTAATACTTATAAGGCCAGAAGACAAGCTGGAAGAGGCTCCATGAAACTTATCCCCAATCTGCATCTTCCCCTTTCCTATAGAGTTTTGCAATATGTTGCTGCTTCCATTGTTGTATTGACCTGCCTTAGAAACTCCATAGGAATATAGTTGTGAATTCATGTAGCTTGCAGTATCTAGCTGCCTAAGCTCAGCACCCATTTGTCCTCTCTTGGATCCTTGCTCCCCATTGACATTCACGATATTTCGAAATTGAGGTAGAGTCTTGAGCAGTGCTTGTCTTCTACTGTGTAAGTCAGGCTCAATAAAATTTGCTTGTGTGACAAGCTGACCAATGCTTCCACTGATATGTTGATGCACATGATTGAGACTATCTGGCCCATTAGCTTGGTTTATACGTGCATTTCTCGCGTTCATAGACCTTGCAATGATATTCAATGTATGATCCTTCAGTACAGCAGGAACTGGAGCTGTATTTTCCAATGGAATGGAGTCTTGAGGAACAACTTTATTCGAGTGGACAAAATTGTTTACTGTCTTAATCTGTTGTAACTCTTCCGTACGTGAGTTCAGGTGCCCTTCCCTCATAGCAGATGTCAATGGCCTGTTCAACTGTGGCAATTCATTCGTAGAATCCAAATTCAAATTGAAAGAAAGCTTGCTCCTCTCATTATTCTGTGCCTGGCAATCAATATCTTTGCTGTGACTTTCCTTTTCGGCTCCACTATCCATCTCAAAGTTCAACGTTCTCTTGCATGATTTTTTAGCCGGCCCTGCCTCAGATACTTCCACAACATTCTTCATCTCAGTTGGAGGAGTGGAGGTTTTATTACCATTTTTGCGAACATACTTCCTTTTTGGTTTTCCATTGGGAGTGTCACTTGCTGGTGTGGCAGCAGCTTTGGGAGTCCTTTTCGGCTTCCCTTCAACTACAACTTTTGGTCGATGTTTACGTCTCTTCGGTGTCTTTTGCTGTGGCGTCTTGTTGAGATCAATTCCACCATCAGAATTGCTCTTCTCAGCTGGGGATGTCAACACGGCTTCAGTTGGTGTATCCAGATTAACAAGCAAAGATTCACCCTGCTCCCTCACCAGAGTTTCAGTTGGTAGAGAAAGTGCAGTGACATCCTTCTTATGCATTTCTTTACTGCAGGTTTCTCCTGTCAGCGAAATCGGTACTTGACTGACCTCGTAATTATTTGATCTCATTTGCTGGCTTGGTGTCTGCGGGCCTAACAGAAGGGGCCGGGCAGAGCTTGACGATTCCACGAATTGTGGTCTCAGTGATAAATTTAGGTTATAGTTGTGCCCATAAGGAACTAAATTTCTGCCTATAAAAGTCCAGCAATATAGTCAAGAAGTTAGTATTGCATTCCAAGGAAGTATTAGTAAAGCATTTCCATGCACAAAGGAATTCAAGTTCATAAGTTCAAACATCAATAGTATTGAAAGAAGCAAAAAACACGAAGTATAAAAAAAATTATTTAGAAGAGAATAGGAGAAAAAATAACATGACATAAAGGGCCACAGACCTGAAGATTATCTCACACAAACTGGAGAAATATTGGCCTCACTTGAGAAATGAAATGCAGATGATCAAGTTCAATAATTTTCTCTTACATAAAGACACTCAATGTTCAACCTTTAACTGATAACTTAAATGCTAAGGATCGAGTTCAAGTATCCGTCCCACCTATAATCTACTCAACAGTTTGCACCTCACTAATAAATAGAAGCAAAAAACAGAAAGTATAAAAAAGATTATTTAGAAGAGAAATAGAAGAAAAAATAACATGACACAAAGGGCCACAGACCTGAAGATTATCTCACACAAACTGGAGAAATATTCGCCTCACATATAGTACTCTCACTTGAGAAATGAAATGCAGATGATCAAGTTCAATCGATGTTCGACTTTTAACTCATAACTTAAATGCTAACGATCAAGTTAAAGTATCCGCCCCACCTATAATCTACTCAACAGTTTGCACCTAACTAATAAATAGAAATGGATAGGAGTAATCGAAAAAGATCGATCTGACACATATGACATACTCACCGTTTGACATTTCACCGACAATATTAAATGCAATCAACGATCGAAGTCAGAATATTAATTACTCACCGTTTGACATTACTTGTAGGTTGTAACCGCCAACGCCATAGTCTGAAGAGTACATTTGATTACGGTGGACTTTGACACCAACTGGACGGTAACTCATCTGGCTAGATTCAGTTAGAGAATTCGGACAAGCAACAGCTGGTCGGCTCATCACATAGCTGCTTCTACTTGGCGTTGAATTCGAGATAGGCACATATGTTGAATTTGCCCTGCTCATCAGTTCCGCAATAGAATTAATCCCTTGAGGTACAACTTCACTGAAAGTTTGGACAGAGGTAGGTATTCTCGGATCCAAGTTTCCAAACCTCGGAAACCTGCCGAATTCATCATTCAGGAGATTTCGATTGTAAGACTGAGGTATGTTGCCATAGGAGTCGCTTGGAATGACCTGTGTACTGTTCAACAGCACAGTTTTCTGCCTCACAGAATTCGAGGGCTGCTGCATCCTGTTACAAGTAGCAACTTGACTGTTTGGAACGAACTTTTGAGATAGAACATCGGCCGAATCATTTAGGACTCCACCGTAGATCCCTAACAAATCCAACCAAGTTTCCTGTCTTGGATTATTCAGCATTTGAGGATGGCCATTGTTCGGCCTCACCAGGATCGGATTTCCTAGTGTTGTCGGAACCCAAATATCCCCATTCTGTATGACTCCATTCTCCTGGGGAATCGAAAGCCCCCTCCCCAAATTCATATCCACTAATCTACACAGAAATCTTTACAGCAGTCTTCACATTTCAGTCCAAACAACTGCTGAATTACCGAACCGAATCGAGTACTCCATGGAACCCCCAACCCCCAAGGCTTTCCAAATCAATCCCCTTCTCTCTCAACTCTTCCTGCAAAAAATTTCAAGAACAAACTTCAGCCAAAAATAAAACTAAATTATATACCACAACACTGCATTTCCCCACAAGCTAAAATCTGACGCAGTTAATGCTGAAAATTTCAATTCCTCAAAGAGCAGTTACCATTTCCTCAACAAACTACGCATAAATCTCACCCAAATTTCCTAATCCTCCAAACCCTGTTAGCTAACTTTACTCAAATCAACAAATGCACCTTATCGCACACCCACAGATTAACTCCTCAGCAGCTTTGAGAAAAGGAAAAACGGAAATGGAAACAGGAAACTCAGAAAGGAAAACAGTAATCAGAGAATTAAGGTCAGGATTTCAATTTCCCAATTCATCAGCATATCCAGACGAATATAAACATCTTCAACGGAGATTCTATCATGTCAAACAAGTACAATTCACCTCGCTTCAACAACGCAGAACAAAATCATTTCAATTCAGTTCAATCAAAATTGGGCAACAAAAAACCACTCCACACCACAATTGATTTGGAAAAATCTCCAATTTATCATTTCTAGCTTCACCCATTCATGTAAAAATGTATCTTTTCACCGCACAAATACATACATACATATATATATACGCAATTGACCTGAGATATGCAGAAGGAGTCGACGAAGAAGAGCACAGCCCACCTTCCTCCCTTCTACCAATATTGCTTTTTAGAGAGAGAGAGAGAGGGAAAGAGAGAGAAATAAATAGAAAGGAGAGAGAGAGCAATCTGACTCAACACTGAAACACACAATTAAAGAGCAAAGGATGGTATTATATATATATATACACATACGTATAAATGTATGCATATTTTTCACATAAAAATAAAAATAAAAATAAAAATAAAATAGAAATTGCATGGTTTGGCAAAATAAAACAAACTTTGGCATTAACGCCGCGTTTGGGTCTCCAATTTTCAATAAATATATATAAATAAAAATTTTAAAATTGAATATTAAAAGAATATGAATTTATTCTTTTATTTTTAAACTATTTTCAGTTTTTTTTAAAAAAAAACATTTATTATATTTTATAATAAAAATATATTATTTTTTTAACAAAATATTTAAGGTTTATATCAATATAAGAAATTATAAAAAAAAATAAAAAATATTAACTAATAACAAAAATCCTAGAAATGTTCTAGAACAATGAATACTACCTATTTATCTGAATATTAGTTATGCTTTAATTGCAAAATTATCATGTAATTATTGAATAATACAAAAAATAAAGTTGGAAAATGTAATTATATCATGACAGATAGGATTTTAGGACGGATGACGATGGATTTTATTTCTAACGGTGTGATTTTTACTCTTTTTGAATAATTTAAATTATTATTATTATTATTATTATTATTATTTTTTGTCAAATATATATATGGCTTTTTCAAAAGAATAAAATAAACTTAATACATCGTATATATTCATTATTTATAAATTATTTTTTACAAAACAAATACATCCAATATTTATTAAAATTGTATAGTATATATATTTGTTTAGGACTTTTTTTTTTCTTTCTCCTCATTTGTATTTGTATAAACGTGCTTATTTTTAAAGATATACTAATTTTATACTCCCTTCGTCCAATTTTTATTATCCTAAAATACATTTGTACGATTTTGTAGGTAATTGTCTTTTTGTTATGAATTGACAAATTTATCCTTAATTGTATAGTAGAGATTAAAAGTACTAAATAAATTAATGGTAAAAATAAAAAATTTGTGCTTAAGAAAAAAAAAAAAAAAAGAACATAGTTGTTTCACGTTCCCAAATAAAAAAGTAAACATTTATTTGTGGAGGGAGGGAATATTTAATAGTATAATTTTTAAATTAAAAGAGAAAAAGTAAAAACATATATATCCACATTAAAACCATGTCAAAGGGTTTGAACATATTTTTAGTAAAATAAGAGAGTATTATTATTATTATTATTTTAAATAATTCGATGTGAGCCCCAGTTACTATTATAAATTTATAAAATTTATATATACTCACTATGTTATAAAAAAGTTAATTTTTTTTTAATGAAAAACTTGTTATTTCTTATTATTTTTTACTATAAAAGACAAAAATTCAAACTATATCAAAATCGTTGTTCAAAGTAAATGAACCAACCTATTATTCGATTACGGAGATAATATATAGTATAATGATCTTATTTTTTACATTTATGTTTTACCTGTCCAACCACCGTAAAAGTGAATAACGCCAAACACCGTCGCACCAATGCACCGCTCACTGCCCCACCGTCAAAATTCTACGACTATAGACACAATTAACCCAATATCTTCATATCCACTGCAAAATCGTCTAGATGATAAAAAAAAAAAAAAAAAAAAAAAAAAAAAGAAAAAAAAGTGAGGCGGTAGCCAAAGAAGAAAAGAAGGAAGGAAAGGAAAAAGGGATCTTACAGTGCAATCAGAGAAGAACGTGACCTAGAAAAAATGAAAAACGACGGCCGAAAATGATGAAGACAAAAGCTTGAAAGGACGAAAAACTCGAAAACAAAGACAGAGAAAAAAAGAGGGCAAGAAGAGAAAAAGGAAGAAGAAAGGGAAATAAAAAGAAGAAGAAACCGGAGAGGTGATATGTTCCGTGAAGCAACGAGGATGTATATTTATCTAATATAATTTGTTGTGAAATCAAATTTATTTAGCAAAATATCGGATGTATTGAATTATGTTATATTAATATGTGATTTTTTTTACTATATATTAAACGACGTCGTCGTAAAGATATTAAGATGCATATTAAATGTGTTAAGTATTTAAGTTCACGTGTCAAATGTTCGATTTTAAGAGATCGATGGTAAGGTAAATTTCAAATAATTACTATTAATGCAAACAAAAATGCATTAAAGATCAAATCTTTTAATTTGTCTACCTCATGATTTAGTTATTAGATTCAATAGTTTTGAAATGGAAAATTGTTTAGGCACTTAAATGTGTTTTGAATTGTCTTCGACTTAATAAAATTAATGTTAGATACTCTTTTTGTCGGTCAATTTTATACATATTTCAATTGCAAATTCAGAAAGTGCGTATAAAATTGGCGGAAGGAAAAAGTACATTATTTTGTACTTTATTCAATAACGACCAATATTATATTATTTTAGAGTTCTTAAAAAATAAAAAAAATAAAAGAATACTTTTGGTTCGAGCTCTTTGTCAAACTTAATTTGTCTATTCTTTTTATTTTCGTTCATTCCACATAATTTATTTTTTATTTTTTGAAAATATAATTATACACTTTAATCGCATTTTAAAATTCATTTTTTTATTAAACTATTTAGTTATTTTAATTTTAATATTTAATTATTTTTATTAAATATTAATTATTTACTAATTATACAATACCTAAAACTTGTAAATAAGACCAATTAGCTGATACTAATCAATTTATTATTTTTTGATTGAAAAGCACCGTATTCAATACTTTCTCTACCTCTTAAAATTGTACTCATTTTTTTATTTATATTTCTCTTAAAATATTTTGTAAATAATTATACTTTGTGTTTCACAATAATGGATATTTTTTTTATTTTTACATGTCCCATAATAATTAACATTTTCTTATTTTGGCTAAAATTTACTAAATTAAAATATATTTAATAAATATAAATATAATTTAATTAGCTATATAACATATAATATACATTTTGGACTAAATCAAAACTTTTTTTATTTATATTTCTCTTCAAAAAAAATATTTTTATCTAGGGGAAATTGCAAAAAATATCTCACACGTATACCCTATTATCACTTTTGTCATGTATTTATCTCGCTGGTAAAATATATCTCATATGTTTGCAAAAGTCGTTATTTCTATCATTTGACTGCGCGTGGCCGCGAGTGATTGCGTGTAACGGCATGGTGTGAATTTCACGCGCAAGAAAAGAACATAAATATGGACCTTTGTAAACATGTGATATATATTTTGCTAGGAGATAAATACAGGACAAAAATGATAATAGAGTATAAGTATGAGATATTTTTTGCAATTTACTCTTTTTATTTATATTTAAAACTTTATATCTTTTATAAAATTTTATTGTCTGCAAAGTGATATCCATATTGCATATATTTTCTATTGCTATATAATTTTTAAAATATTTAAATACATATTCTAATTTTTTAATCATATATATTTAATTTATTTAAAACTATTAATATTATTCATTATATAAAAAATATAATAATATTCTAACGGGCTGTTATTAATTTATTAAAAATCATTTCTTTAAAAATATCGTATCACTAATGAAACTTGTGCTGAAAATTTTTCGAACACAAATTTAAGAGACGGAAAGAGAATGAGTTTTTGTATAGAATCTCATATTTAAATATTTTTTTAAAATATTAAAAAGTAAAAAAAGACAAAAGAATTGCTGTGTTATTTAGCAACTTGTGTTTTGAGTTTTGTATTTAGGGTGTATTCGTTTGTAGGATTTTGATAAAATTCTACTATTTATTCAAAAAATTTTCCCCAAAAATATAAAATTAAACACCTATTTTTTATATTATAGTAAAAATCAATTTTATATTCAAAATATCACATCTAACACCTATTTATATCAAATTATACAACTATTTAATTTATATATTTTGAAATAAAAATACATGTTAATATAATATCAAAGAATTTTATTTTTTTTTAAAATGTGATAATGACTACGTTTTCAAGTGTGTTTCTGTTGTGAAATAGTTTGAAGCAAAATTTTAATATAAAAATAATGTATATGTATAATATATTAATTTTTTAAGCATTTTTGGAAAAATATATTAAGTGAGAGTCAAATCCAAACAAAGAAATAGGCAAGATAGCTATTAATTTCTGAAAAAAAATCAAAATATAATATAATTTTCATTACTTTTTTCAGTATATTTTATTAGTGACATTTTTATTGTTAATCAAACAAGATATTGATTATATAGAAAGTTTTGGGCTCAATTATTAATATTGCAAAAAAATATATATATATGTTTATAATAAAAACATTATGTAAATCAATAGTACTCTGTCGGACAGAGGACAAATGAATCGTTTTTCTTTTTATTATGTTTTAAGACATATTATTTATTTCTATACTTTTAGTAAATTTATCAATTCTAAATCACTACAAAAAAAAATAATATATTTATAACGGAATTTCGTCCATAAAAATTCACGTAATTAACGTAATTCTGTTCCTAATTTCGTCTCTAATGTCATTAGTAACGGAAAAAGTAGATTTAGAGACAAAAAAATTTTGTTACAAAAATGATTGCATTAAATATATTTAATAAATATAAATTATTTAATTAAGTTCATACATTTTATATGTATGATTACTCGGAACCTTTTATTTTTATCTTCTTAATAAATGAATATTTTTATTTACATTTTTCTATTTTTTTATAATAAAATTAGTTTATATTAATTATAATTAAATATATATATTTTTTATTTATTTATATTATATAAAATCTTATTATCTATTAAATAGTATTCATTTTATGGAAATATAATATTAAAAAGATTTAAACACAAATTTTTAAGAAAAATCTAATCATATACTATATCAATTCATAGCTTAAGAGTACCAACATTATTTTTTCATATAAAAAATAATAAAATAATATCATAATTTACGACTATTAATTTACTAATATTCACTAAATAGATAACCATGGTCAGAGCAAATGGATTATCTGATAACATTGAGGTCGGACATGATCAGGTCGGGCAAGGACGCAGCAGATGTGCAGGACGAGCGAAAGAGTGGTTTCTGGACAGTGGAGGGAAGTTTCAACTGGTGAGCGGTTTTGAAGGCACGACTTGGTGAGTCGGTTAATATACGTGTCGACAGAAGAGAACTTTCTGGGCGGTTGACAGCGGTTATTGTAACCGACCAGGCGGCGGTTCAAACCATTTCCTTAAAGAGTTTTAAATAGGTCTGTTTTTGACCTAAGAAACAATATTCAATCGACATCAAATTCAAAAGAATTGCCTTTGGGGATCACCATTTTATTTTCCCGTATGTATTTTTATTTTCCTATTTTATTTATGTATTAGGGATTCCTAATCTCATGCACTAATTTTATAAATTCGAAGATAATCTCCCATTTTCGAATTTTACTTTTTATTGTTGAAAAAATACATCAACAGTTTGGCGACCACAGTGGGAGAGAGGCAAGATTGCTGATCTTACGTCAACAGAGAATTTCATACGACTGAGGTCCGGCCGAATCATCGGAATGATCCACATGGCAGGCTCACAGCCTCAAGCATCTTCAGCACCGGCGGGAGAAACCGTCTCACCACCTGTCATGCCAAATGCAGAGGAAACACCACAAGCACCTGCCGATTAAATCAACAATTGAACAATAAGCAGAATCTGGCTTTGCAAAATATGTTGCGCGAGCAACAAAACCTTATGCAGAATATGCTAAATCAGACGTTATCAAGGGTTAAGAAGAGGAAGAGAGAAGAGGAAGGCAAGGGTTGACGAGGCGCGGCTGGAGGTTTTCGTTGTCGGCACAGAGGCGAACTGCCGGCGACTGTGCTGGCTGGAGAGAAGGCGGCGCTGGGCGTTGCGATTGGTGAAGTGGATCGGAGGGGAAGAAGATGCAGCGATCCGGATTAGCCGCATCAGTCATATTATTTGCGATATTGAGTTGATTTTGATTGTATTCTATTGATTTTGATTAATTAAAAGGGCCAAAAGTCCAATTGTTACAAAATTAAAGCAAATATAAAAGAAAGAACAGGGAAAACACCGTGCATAACAGACCCAGAGAGAAATCGCATAAGGGTAAAAAGGATAAAGATTATTTCAAAAAAATTTCAAGTTCTTCTCATCAATCCCATCTATCTAAGGCGATGTTTAAAAATAAAACCAAAAAAACAAATTAGAAAACTTGAGTTGCCTCATGAGAAGCGTTTTTCTTTAACGTTTTGTCTTTTGCTTTCATGTTTAAAATGATAATTACTTACAAAAAAATTTCTCTGCACGACTCATATCATCATTTAATTGAACAGGCTCCAACTGATTTGAATGGAGCTTTGATTTTATATATAGAATAAATTCATCATACAATCCCAATACTCCTCCAATATTTTTGTCAGTAACATTCACACTACACAATGCATTATAATAAATTCATTATACAATCCCAATACTCCTCCGATATTTTTGTCAATAACATTCACACTACACAATGCATTATATTTTTCAAGGTATTTTATAGAATCAGAAATATCAAATTGCAATTTCTCACCATCAAATTCCATATAAAGTATACCTTATTTAACATCAATTTTAGTTTGTGCAGTATACCTATAAACTTTTTAACCATTGAAGGTATTATTTACCGGGAAGAAGTATCCTATAACATTGATTGACAGACTTTTCTTGAAAAACTTGGGTGCATTTATTGAAGTGAAAGGATAGAGAATTTGACAATTTCAACAGGGTTCAAGTCCTCTATTCCTATTTCCTCTGTGTCATCTGTTCCATCCAATCAGATAAAGTCATTTATGATAGTACTATTTATTTAATTAATCTACTAAAATTAGACTTTATTTTATCAATTCATTTAAATTACTATTATACCTTATTTTAAAACCTAGTATTTTGTTGATATAGAATTGTAAAAATTAAAATAAAATCTTTGTTTTACAAAATAAAATATACATAAAACACAATATTTATTTTTCAAAATTTTTAAACAATTGTAGAACATATAAAAAAAAAATTATATTTTTTTCAAAATTTGTAGGACATATGTGTTACAAATGTTATACTTTATTTTTATTCACGAAGAAAACATCATCAAAATCAAGTCAAATTAAATAATTAATTTCGCTCAAAAGAAAATATTATATGATAGAAAAATAAAAAAAATATAGAAAAATAATTCAAATATAAAAATTTTAAATATGTTTTAGATCCTACACTTATGTACAGTATAATCAAAATATGAAATATAAAAATCAAATGTCATTATAAAAATAAAACGGTCATTTAAATGGCACTAGGTCTTCACCGTCCAAGTGGTTTGAACGTTGATTTGTTTGAACCTGAATATTTATATATAAAAAAAGTAAAAATTAATATAATAAAATCTACTACCATGATATATATTACAAATAAATAATAAATAAATAAATACCTGAAGCAATTCGGTGAATTTAATCGGATATTGTAGTCCGTCGGAAAAATCAAATGACATAATTTGATTTATTTGATTTTGCACATAGTTTTGATACTGCAATATAAAATTTATAATATAATAAAAATTAAAGTATTACAAATATGTTTATCCAAATACAATGTAAACTAACCTATTGCGGCTGATGATTTTGACGAAACATTTCAGATCCATGTTTTTGATAAACCATTTCGTTTGCAGTCTGAAAAAAATAGTATTTAATTCAATAATAAAATTAAAAATTAAAAATCATAAAAATATAAAATTATACATGTGAAGGGATCGAAATATCAGAAATTAATATATTTTTTGTTGCATTTGAGCTTTGGGTGGATGGCTTTCTCTTCTTTCTGGAAGCTTTTTTTAGTCACTTTTAAATCTTTTTCCTGAAACAACTTTTGTTCTAACTTTTATTCAAGTAACCTTTACTCTGGTTTCCTCAGCTGTAAAATTTTCCTTTTCCTTCAATTTCTGTAAGCTAGAGTTATCGGAAAAAATATTAATACTTTGCAACTTTTCATTAACTATTTCAAACATTTCCTTGAATCCATCTCTTACTATTTCGTATGTTTCTTTTGTTTCAGATGCTCTTGTAACAAGTTGATTAGAAATATTACATAAATCCTTATACCAGATTTTTGGCAACATTTTTAATCATCCTAAAATGTCAATACATTATAAAAATCTCCAACCTTCGCTTTTCTAGTCCATCGTCTTAATATATATGAATTTGGAATCTTAATAATATTATGTACATTAAAAACTTTCAAAGCATGAGAACACAGTATTCCAAAAAATTCAAAATTTCTACAACTACAATGTATTGTGCTATGCAAAGAGTCATAGTTCATAACATGATATTTTGATTTTCCAAAAGATGTAAAATGATAAATTAAAACACCTTTAATTATACTAAAAACATTAAAACTAAAATCATAAGCTTTGCACAATTCTTTTTGAAATATTTTAAATACTTTAGGAGTATAGATATCTACTGCATATTTTAACAATTGAGTAGGAAAAGATAATGCAGGAGTACTTATATTTGCTCTAAAATCATATTTCAACTCCTCATAATGACGATTATCAAGAAAAATTTGAAACTATTCAAAGAATTGACGTAAGCTATTTTTGTAATTGACGTACCTTTTAACCACGCTATTCATACTTTCACTTCTTCGTGTCGTAGTGATGTCAGCACAAAAATATTGACGACCATAAACCAATGCCCATTTTTCTTTTTTATTGGATAATCTTTTTAACCAATCATTATTTTGAAGATTATATTTTTCAAGCATGTTATTCCATTCAATTGAAAAATTATCTTCTTCTTCAAAATCATATACACACTTACTAAAATCATATGCAAAATCTTTAAATTTATCAACAATTCCACCTAATTGTTTAGCAGCATTTTGATATATAGGCCAATTACATAACCTGTGGTGTGTCTCTGGCCATTTACAAGATAAGCTTTGGTCATTGCTGCATCTTCATCGGTCAAAATAGTTGTTGATTTTTTACCTGACATGTTACAAGAAAATAAATCAAATAATGTAGTAGTTTCGTCCTATAAAAGTGCGCAATAAAAAAATAACAGTTTGTTTGTGGTGCTTCACACCAACAAACAATGCAAGAGGACGATTTTGTGAATTCTTCTCATAAGTTGTATCAAAAGATATAACATCTCCAAATACAACATAATCAGCTTTCATTCTCCCATTTGTCCAAAATATATTAGTTATTGCATCATCCTCATCAACTTGAATTGAGTGAAAAAAATTTGGATCTTTTACATGCATCTCTTCTAAATATTTACGTACTCCCCCGTATCTCCAATTTTCATATCATTAGTTCTTTTTTAACGCAAATAATTTCTATAATCTTGTAAAGTAAATCCTAAATTATCACAACCACCTGCTTGTTTGATCATATAATCATGAGATTTCCCGAACACCCAAATCTAGTTTCGGCACACAAATTTTTATCATAAATATCTAGCTTATCAGGTTTTTCGTTTACCTTCAGCACAACAACAAAATATTATATCAACTAGTTTACCATTTTTTTTTTTATAAAATGTGCTTTTTCTAACACCAAATCCAACTTGTTTAGCATATGCATAATAAAATTCCCCAGCCAATTTTTCATTATCAAATTCCATACCTATTCGAGGAATCGTTCTTTTGAGATGAATATATGCAAATAATGAGAATTAAAACCACCGATAATAATGAGATCATCACTTTCTTTGTTGATAACAGGAATTTCCTACAACAAATATTAAATTTAATTTAAAATAAATTATAAAGCAGTTCAGTTAAAATAAAAAATACAATGAATATAAATATTAAAAAAATAAAATACTTGATTTTTTTCTTCATTTGCATCAGATAAATTTGTTTATGACATCTGATACAACTATACAGAAAATCCTATAAAAAAATAAAATAATTAGTCTAATATTATTATTATTATTATTATTATTATTATTATTATTTTAAAAAAGAAGAATTCTAAATAACATGAGAATCATATAAATTACTATAAAAGCAATATTTTTTGTAATAGAAATTCAAATTGTAATTAATTTGAGATTTTTTATTTTTTCACGTTCGATTCAAAATATTTTTAATGTTTGATTTGATTAGAAGAAACAAAAAGCAACTAAATATAAAAATTTTAAGTGAGAATAAAATGGTACCGAGGAAGAAGAGGTAGATGTCGACGCACCAGAAAAAACTTCGAAGACAGCAAAAAAACAGCAAGAGGCAACAATGAATGATAGCAACAGATCGGACATCTACCAGATTTTACAAATGAAAGAGAAAGAAAGATAAATAGACACTTATAACGGTTATTTTTTTTAAGGATATAATAGTCATTTAAATGAATAGATTAAATAAAAGTTTATTTTAATTAATTGATTAATTAAATAGAAAGTATTGTTATAGGTGGTTTTATTAGATTGGATGGAACAGAGGACACAGACGAAATTGGAACAGAAGATTTGAACCCCTTTTCAATAAGTGGAAGGCATTTATAGAAAATCTTACCGGTAAGAATGTCAAGTTTCTTAAAGATGAACATGACTTGGAGTTTTGTAGTGGTGACTTCAATGAGTTCTGCACATCGCATGGTGTTATA